ATACAAAATAATAAGGTGAGAGATAATGAAATATCCAGGGCAGGATTCACAACACAGAAGCCTGTGGCAGGAAGTGGGAAAGCCTGAAATTATCCTACTGTCTGCATCCATGTTTCAAAGAGAAAAATGAAATATTCTTAATATTAAGCAACAGGTACAGTACATTTCAATGAACAATATTTGTGGTGCCAATATTTTGTGTATGGCTGGAAATAAATTGTTTAATGTGACGTACACAGCAAAGTAGGACTGAATAGGAGTAAAAATCATGTTTCTCAGTACTTTTTCTGAAAGCACTTTTTGTTGCACCCTAAATTACAATAAGGAATCCAGGTATGGCACAATTGACCAAGTTCAAGGCAAGGAATAAGAGCAAAAGTTGTCTTCTGTTGTTTTCTGTATGTACTTTCTTAGAATTTAAAATCTACTGTATGTTATAGATCACTTGCATTAGACTATCAGAGAGGAAGCAAACTCAGAGTGGTTTAATGCTGTGTGCATATCAACGTATGAGATACTTCCACCACAGATATCTCTTTGTCTTAAAGGGTGATATATCCCATGAGAGCTGAGAGTTCCAATTTCCCACAGCAAGCTTCACTGAAAGATTAGATAAAACAGTCCTGACAGCTCAATGAAGAGCATCTTCCTGCTTCAATCCACTGAGCATTCAAAGAACATGTCTCAGTTTTCAACAAAAAAAAATACACAGTGGAACACTTTGTTTTCATTTGGTGAGTGTTGTGCAAGGTAATAATTGTACATGCAACTGCACATTTAAAACGTGACTGTTAGTTTGTGGTGGAACATCCTTTTCTATGCCTTTCTCTTTACAAGCATACTGATGAAATCTAAAGTGAATATATATTTGCACTCCTAAAGTGAATGAACTATAAATCTTGACATTTCATTTCTCCCATCAAGCTCTGCAAACAAATGGGTTTGCTACCAACTTACTCCTACTTATTAATTTTCTATACAAACCAAAAAAGGAAGACGTTTTCAAATGTTTATGGCATGGAAGGGCTAAACCACCATTCTTAAAACTGGGCCTGTTGTTCTTTAATGGTAGTCACACCAGAGGTTGAAGTCCATGTGCAATGGCAAATATTTTGCTGTGAATAAAAAGAGCTTTTGACAAAAGCCCTACTAGAAGTGCTGTGTGTGAAACAAATCTGCAGGTGATTACATTCACTATTTCAGTTCACAATGAACTATAGATCTGGAGCTACTCCTAAAATGTATCTAGTGTCTGACACTCTTTCTGTACTGCTTGTAATTTAAATTTTTGGATTTATTTAAGGAGTAGCACAGTGGTTAGCATTTTTCTGCCTTGCAGTGCTGGAGCCCTGGGTTCAATTCCTGGGTTGCCATTTGTGTGGACTTCTTAAGTTTTCCCTGTGCTCATCTAAGTTTCCTCCCTCAGTCCGAAGAAATGCTAGTCGGTTAATTGGCTTCTGGGAAAAGTGATCTTGTTGTGTGTCCTACAAAGGACTGGTGTCCCATCCAGGGTGTACCCTGCCTTGTGCCTGCTGCTTGCCAGGATCTGCTCCAAATCCCCTGTGACCCCATTGATTGAAAGCTTTTTACAACCGTAATGGTTCAGATGTTTTAAAGAAGCAGTCCTTTTCAAGTAACAGAACATACTGCCCATTATTATCCAGACACAGACTCTTCCCTGAGGACAGAAATGGACTTTACTCTTGCATATGTACTGTATGTAAAGTCTCAGTCTCCCACTGTCATTCTAGCCATCAAAAAATACATCTCTCTTTCTATGTTTCCATCAACTCTGCCATACAGGGGTTGCAGAATACAATTAATTACAATATGATGGATAACCATGGTCAGTAATTGCATGCTGTCATTTGTCAAACTCTCCAGCTAGATGACAGCCACATTGGAAATAATTACCTTTCCTAAATAATAAAACAGCAACATTAAGAAAGACAGCTCAAGCTAAAGGTCAGTGCTAAAGGAAGGCTGCCTCATTAGGGTCTTGGACACAGAACACATGGAAACTCCAATCCACTGGTCAGATAGTGAGATAACCTATGGAGCCATAAGGAATTTAGGAGAAAGAGAAGATGTGCAAATCAAAATCAGCAAAGTCAGCACTAACAACCAGCCCCCCCCCTCTCTCTCTCTCTCTCTCTCTCTCTCTCTCTCTCTCTCTCTCTCTCTCTCTCTCTGTTTTTGTGTTCTTGGATTACAGCATTTGCTGTTGGAGCCTATTGATTTAAATCTATCATAAAGCCAGTTACAAATCAAGCTCGAGAATGTAAATTAATATTAAGTAAAATGAGTGCTAATAGTCATCCATTTTCTAACCACTCTATTCACACAGAAAAATACACACATGTGGGACAGTTTTCCCAGAACTCAATGAGTGTCAGAATGTCTTTTGATTTGATTGTGGGAGGAAATCCACACAAACACAGGGTGAGTATACAAACATCACACAAATAGCACCCCAGGAACTGAATCCAGGGCCCCACCATAGCAAGGTGCCACCATGCCATTGACCGCTAGTAGTTGAAATATTGATGATAAATTAACACTAACAGGACCATAACCAATGTTATGGCCAAAATACATACTATCTGTAGATCTTTGGATCCATTTCATGTCGATTTTGTTGCCTCCAAAGGTGAATGGTAAGTTTTATTATCAAATGATATGTTTGAAGCCCTCCTCAATCTTGTTATTGTGAGATAGTGAGAGGTAACTTTGTAAGAAACTCACCATTCTTGGCACAAAAGCTGGGCCCAGTGGTGTGGCTTTGAGCCAAGTTGGCTGCCTGTTAATTGGAAAAAAACTGCAGAAAGAGGCACAGCTGGCCTGAAAGAGAAATTAGCACTTTCACAGGGAGTGAAATTCCATGTGAGGGATAGGTCTGTACGGAATTTGCCACTCCTCTGGGATAATTAAGATGCTTATAAGACCAGCTGGAAGGAAAAGAGTCTAAGTTTGTGTCTGTGCTCCAGTGTGAAAGGAGGAAGAGTGAGAGCTCCAGAGGGGAGACTTAATTAGTAAAGGATTGAGGTGGCTTACAGACCTGTGTGATTCAGTGAGTTTGTGAGGCTTGCGAAAGTATAGGGTAGGCTGAACATAGAGGTGAACTGTGTGGTAGTTTTGCTTGCAAGACTCAATGGGGTTGAGATGCGCAGCTAAGGAACAGCTAAACAAATCTTGATGGTAGCACCTGGAGCAGAGGGACATTAACCACCAAGGTGGTGGAGTTCCTTATCTCCACAGAGAGAATAGTATAGATGGTAAAGGTTGAGTCTGGAGTACTCCTTCTGCCTTGCCATTAGAAGACAGAGTTGGTGGTCTCTTAGAGTGTGGAATAAGAGAAAACAACACAGTGGATGTGGCTGTATCAGGGACACAAGTGTAGGTTATAGAGAGGCATCCATGGACAAACAGGTTCCATCAGTACACTTAGTTATAAGAAGAGTGACTCGATGTTAGTGAAGATCTGGTGCCTGGTGAAGAGTAAAAGCGATCAGAGTTGGTCTGATTGAATACTCCAGTGCCTAGTGATAAATGAAGAATGGGAGTGAAGAGCAGACCTACTGTAGTAAGTGGGATGAATATGTGTAGTGCTTAGTGGTTAATGAAGAGTAAGTGACCTATGTGAGTAGAGCTACTGTAAGTGAACGACAGCCTGTAAGAAAGGGGACTGTACAATCTTCTACTAGAAGGAAAGATAAAGAAGAGCTAGGGTCCTAGTGAGGGTCTGAAAGACAGACAGCTACATGGAAAAACTCAGGTGACATGCTGGCAGTGTTGGAATTAGAGTAGTGTGTTTGTTGGCAGGTGTTACACATGCATATTGTTGTGCAACAATCCATTTAATTGGCAATATTCATTGTTTATTATAGGAATGTAGGAATTAATCAATCTGCATTCCTTTTGCCCAGAACTCCAGGAAACAAAAAAGAGGTGCACAGGGTGTACTTTTAAAATAGGGATGTCTAACCCTGGTCCTAGAGGGAATCAAACAATTTGTATGGTATGTTGCCAAAGTGCCCAAGCTAGGATTGGGGTTAGGATTTGTACAACACAGAGCGATTTTGTGATGCATTTGCTGTGCTCTAGGACATATGTGAAATGCAGGAAAAGTGTTTTATTTCCTTTGAACAATTAATTTGGCCCAATCTTACAGTTTTTGCTAAGCCTATCAAGCAAAACTGGTCAAGAATCATAAGTTTGAAAATTCTTTCTACAATTTTTTTCTTGCATTTAAACCTGAGAAAAACCAAGTTCAGCTAAACTTATTTGTACTCTTGACCTACAGACGATACAAAATGTTGGGTTATTTGCCATTTCAACAGCAAGAAACGTGAAAAAGAAATACTGGAAGCAAAATAAAAGAAAATGAAAGCAGTTTCACAGTAGGTACTTTTAAAAGACTGGAAACTGCCACTTTAAGCATTTTGGACAATTTTAAGTCTGTCACACAATGGCCTGAGGAAGGCCAAAGTAAGTCCCTTTTATAAAAGAATGGCCCCACTGCAAAGCACTCAAGCAAAATAAATGCAGTTTATTTAAAGTGCTCCCAGTCCCACACACCCAGAAACAAAACCCCAAAAAGGAACAAAAATAATTCTTCAAATAAAGACAAATCTTCCATTTCTTATTACTTTCTCTCTGATTTAAGTCACACTACCGGACTCACCAATCACTAACAACAACTCCCTCTTAGGCTGAGGAGCCAGCTTAAATAGCTTGTAAGCCCCTCCCCCTCTGGAACAAACCATTTCTCCAATTCATAATAATTTCACAAATTATACATTCATAATGAATTCCTTTCTAACCAAAGAACATCGCATATCTTAAAAACACAGTTCTTTTGATCCTGGTTCAAATAAACAATACAGAAAATAAGCAATACAAACAATAACATTTCCCTCCCTTCACATGCATGTGGTTTTCTCCATCTCCATAAATAAACCTTGAGAAGTGGGTTTAGGTTTGGCCTTCTGAGGCCACCATAGGCTTATCCACCCTTGAAGTCCCAACACCAAACAAGCAGTGAGTATCATCCATTTTCAGAATGCCCTCTCAATACAATTCACACCTCAATACTCACTCATACCGGTGTTTAATTATGTGAATGTATATGAAATTAAGTAATAGCAGTTACTAGTCAAGCCCTGAGTGTACACCATCAAGAACTTATCTAGCAAACGCTCAACGGAAAGTGTATGAATAGTGTATTTCCTGTGCTACCTGTACTTCATGACAGGCTCCTCTGTCACAGAGTCATTTTGGGTAACTTTTTGAACACAGTTTTTCAATGCAAGGTTTTTGATATACAGTGTATTATTATTTATTTGATTGATTCATCAATCAAATAAATATTTATTTGATTGATCATTTGATTGATTCATCCATACCTTACTTACTGTACTGGGCTTTTCCGGAATCATAGTTGCATACATCAGTTTGAACGAATTTGATTGTTTTCAGTGTGTAATTTTGCCTTCAAAAACTGCAAGTTTCAAACATCTGAATAATGTTTGCCAATAATATTATAGTATGTCACATAATCTCATAATAAACATTATAGTAAACCCTTGGTTTAACAGACTTCACTTTAATAGATTTCAGATTTGAAGTTCATGTACTGAGCAGTGATTAAATTAATTTGACATTGTTTAAATAAAAGAATGTATATAACATGATGCAATACTTTATGCATTGTTATTACAAAAAACAAGCAATTGTGCTGCTAACCACTGCACCTCAGTGCCAGGACACAGTCTGTGGGAACTTCCATGAGAGATGGTAGTGGCACCAGCGTCTGTGATGTATCTGGCTAAGGATTTTTACATGAAACATTAAGAGGTATTTATTCACACTAAAACCTGATTTTAGTACTGCTTGACTCTGGCAAGTCATCCTCAATTACAGCCGTAATTAAAATGGTAGATTGTATCCATTAGCAGGAAATTAGTACAATCATGGGGGACTTTAGCTCATTTAGAAATATTCTTTCTTATTAAAGATTAAAATATCTTTTAGAGTATAGTGAAGTTTAATGTGTTTTACTAGCATAGATCTGATAATCATTCATCTCCCCATTGAGTACACCACATTTAAAAATCAATTGTTAAATTATATGTCCTGTTACTTCTACACAGCCCTGATGCATTAACAAGATGTACCATCAAATATATTGAAAAAAACTTGTGGCGGACTCAGCATGATGCACCGGGACAAATCAGCAAGGTACTTTGTCTGTGTCGGCTCCAATTTTGACTTGGTGTTGTATCAAGGCTAGTGTTTTTAAATTCAGTGCAATACGGGAGGATTGTGTCAGTTCAGGATCTTGCTCTCCAAGAACAAAAGACGACATGAAGGGAAAATGGCAGCATATCTCAGCAATGGGTTGAATCATGACATCCTTGATCTTAATTGCTGGCACCCTATGAAAAGGACGTTTTCTTATCTTTCAAAGGAAGCACATGCTTAACCACATCCCAAACCAAATAATGAAACAAGACATCATTGCTGGCTGGCACAGTTTAAATACATCATAGCAAGTGTGTGGTAGAATCAAAAACACCTCTCTTTTTCTTTGCTTTTCATCAGATAATTGTTTCCTCCTGTGAAGTGCCCTAAAATGCTTATCTATCCTTTCTATGCATTAAAGTACTGTAAAACGTTTCCATGGCAGATGGATGGACACAGGATTTTATACTCAGTCTTTTTTCACGAGAGTTTCATCAACCTCTGAATTTAAACAAATTTTACAGTAGATATGAAGTTAGCCTAGCCATCTCTCTCTCTGCTGGCAGGTTAGGGTAAGCAATCAATTTGTCTGTTTCTGAGTGTTCCTTGATATTTATTTGGTAGCAGGTGTTGCTAGAACATGGACGTTACACTCCTGCTATACTTTTTGTCTCTGAAAACTGATTACTCAAGGGGGCACAGGACTTTGTCATTTAGCTCTGAACAAATTGCACCTGTTAGCTTTGATTAACGGAGAACAATTCCTACAATTATGTTCATGATGTGTGGCCAGGATGCAGAAAATGTGCTCCCTGTGATCCTCAACTCTACAAAGACAAATGACCATCTGGGCCAAAGCTGATCAGGCTTATTAGCTTGAGTTCAGTACAGTTTTCTTCCTATGTTTTCATACCTTTTGATCATAGGAGAACTTGACACTTGGAAAGTTTCTGTTGGAAATAGTCATTTCTTTTTTTCATTATTAATTGATGTTCCATGCCAAACAGAACAGTGTTAAAAAAAGAGCTAAAAGTCAGTTCTATTAAATTGCTTTTCAGAGGCTGCAGATTGGTTAAAATTGCACTCTATCTGGTCGGTCTGACTTTGACAACTTTACAGTTCTCTAATAGCATGGTTCTGGATTCCCAGTATTAACTCAATTGCCTGTTACAACAGCCAGTCTTGTTTCAAGTATAATTACCAGGCACAAAACAGAGCAGGTATAAATACCTCAGTTTGTAGTGACTTTGTGTTTTTCACCATGTAGGGCCTGATAGGAATGTGTTTGGGGACACATTAAACTAGGACAGATCAGCTCTTAACAAACTTTTGAATTTGATTACCCACAACATAATTTACAGTAGTTGCATCTGTTATTATCACAAAGCATAATGAGGACGCAGTGAAGATGTGGAGGATTGTTATGTTAAATATTACACATCCATTTCAGCATTCTGTACTTCTGACAATATAATCTTACAGTTCAGTTGTGAAGTCATTCCTTTCCCAGAAGCATCTCGCTTCATTAACATAAAACAATTAAGAGTCATTAAGAGTTTCAATTTAAAACATCTGTTGGTTTTTGTCCACCAGTCCACTGTCCCTGAATGGATTAAACATTATAAGAATAACATTTATACATTGCTCACCTATACACTCATACTGTACATACAGTACCTTAAGAATCTTCTCTGACAAAATCTATAGAATCAAGGTTTTAAGTGTACAAAGAGCGTGATAGCAGATCACCCAGAACTGTGCAACCCACAGCTTGGAACCCCCTAAATTAAAAGTCAGTACAGAGAGAATTTTAGAGATCATTTTTATTCAAAGTCTGTAAGTATTGAATGGTAGTCCTAGCCCTGGAGGTCCACAAACTGCTGTATTTATTGTTGTTCCAACTGAGCTCTTTACTTAATTAAACCCCTATCAGAAATCAGACTCTTTTTCCATGTGCAAGTTGGTGTTTTCAAACACCAAAATACAAATGAAATGTTAAAAGTGAAATCTCCAAAATGTTTAAGAGCTGAAACAAGAGAATTCAAATGAACCATAATATTAGGTTAACTGATAGTTAACTAGAGTATGTACCTGAGAGTGTACAGCAGGCTGATACAGTTGGACTATGACTGAGAAGACTAGAATAGAGTAATGTCAAGGCAGGATGACAGTTGGTTATCCAGATAAGAACCAAGGCCCTCTTGAAGAGTCTGACTCAAATCAGCTACAAAGAGCTCTTCAAACTGGTGTGAGAGATAGCCTTTCCAAATCTGCAAGAACATAAATCATTCTCCAAGTTAATTTTAAGAACAATAAACTCCTACTGAATCTTCTTTGTAGAAGATAATACTTTCAAATTTTATTAACTGCAGCAACGGCTGACCCCTTCCTCACCTGGGATTGAGGGGTTATATCAAGGATGCGGTGAGGAAAAGGACAAGCTGGTAGTGACGGCTTCTTGTCACTCACCGCTGACAGACACATCCTATTCCCAGACCAACACTCCACGCTGTCTCTGCACTATCAATTAGCAATGGTTTGAGTCGAGGGGTCTCTAATCTCTGTCCGTTATCTAATTAGAATGTCTCGTGGCAGGAAAGCTAGGAATTGAATTGCTCTTTTCTTCTTCCATAGAGTTTTTCTAGAAGCAGCTGAGATGAAAGTGAAACCTTCAAAGTAGTTCCGGAGACAAACAAAAGTTACCAAAGAGAGCTCATGAGCAGCTCCACGAAGAACTGCCCAAAACACAGCTTTGGCCTTGTTATTCAGGTGTGTTCCGGGTTCCATTTTGAATGAAAGATGCCTGAGTGGCCTTGTCTTACCTTGCAACAGCGTCACCTGTGTTCTGCTTGGCACCTCTGGGCTGGCGGTACTACTGTAACTCTGACACTTTGGTCAGCCATCTATTCAAAGCGTAAACATGTGCTCACAGGGGATGTTTATGAGTTGTCACCATCTGGTATACTGTAAGTGAGAGGGCTGTAGCAGTCAGCTGATTAAGAATTGGAACAGTCAGATTCGGAATTTATAATGTAATGAATTTTATTTAAATACCATTAAAATAATTCTTTTCAAATTAGATTTTTTCAGTCAATACCTTTTGACACCAATGTGTTTGCTTACCATTCAGGGTAAAATAGGTTGACATTAAAATTATGCCTGGTCTGGTTAAATGTACTTTTGTTTAGAAAATTGTTTTCGTTTTGCTTTCATTTCTCCATTACTACTGTAATACACACCCCCTGCTGAATTATGGCTTAATACAGAGCAGTGCCATTAGCACCACTGGCTAAACTGAAGAAGATTAATACCCTTAAAGTTAGCCACCTCCTACTTTTTTATATGGGAAACTGCAGATTTTACTGTTTAAATTATTCACTCTGTTTGACACACAAGCACAATGAAATAGCCAAGTTAGAAGTGACACTTATCAGAGCCAATTTCTCACGACCACTGTCAAATTAAATACGATGTTTAGCTAATGATGATGACTTTGATGAGAATTTACTACAAGGCTAATATTTTTTCAGTACACTTCCTAGCAGATGATAGTCTAAATATGAGAGGGTCTGCGCCAAAGTTTTCAAGAACCGCTGAGATAAATGTCACTGTTGTGAGTCCCCTTGAGACTGTGAGGGAAACAAAAACATTAGAGAATGTGACGCTGTTACTGAAAAGAAATAGAAGCCAGACAGTATGAGGTGTTTGTGCATACTGTACAATAATCTTTTATTGTCACCACGTTTTCTGCTCTTTTTGATGACTCATTAGTGACCCTCTTCAAATTAGTGTCAAGCCTGTTACCATGGTGATGGTCCAGATGTCCCCCATGCCCCCTAAATGGATGTATAATTGCTCAGCAGCTTTAAGGTGTGGGGGGGTGAGATTATTGGTAATTTAAATGCAAGTGTCCCAGCTCACCTTCAGATCGCCTACAGAAGCAACCCTATTTGAAGAGCAATATTGTGGTGGGTTACAGTAATGAACACTCTCACCAGCTCCCTGAAGGTCAGAGTAGGCAGTTCTCGCCATGCGATGACTCTCTCCTTGTCCTTATTTATGCGTTTTAAGAGAAACCATTTTTCAGTTGGATACCAAGGACGTAACTCGGGATGAGATGCCTTATTGATTGGTACCAACTCTCAATCATGGCTTCTAAGAGGCTTGTCATTAGACTTCAGTGTAATTTAACTCAAAAACTAAAAAAAGAAAGCCTCTCCACCATTGCCACCCACCATATACAGATAATTGCTGGCTTGTTTTCACAAGTTTTGATGAAAAACCTAATCCTCCCTGTTCCTGTGAAAGTGCTAAGATGTCTCTCAGCCTCAGTGGTCATGACAGTAGAGTTAAAATACTGTATCAGGTGAAGCGCATGTTCTTTCTATAGACCTCTTTAACACTAGAAGTCTCACAAAGCAAAAAGAAATAGAAAAATAAGTGTCTCTGTCACAAAAAATATGGTTAATTCTTGTACAGTATCCATTCATCCATTTTTTTCCCAATTCATCCAATTCAGGGTCAAGGGGGAATCAGAACCTGTTTAGGCAAGCAACAGGCACAAGAAGGGGTACAACCTGGATGGGACGCCAGTCGCTCACAGGGCACACACAGACACAGACGCGTACACACTCACAATTAAGCCAATTAACCTACCAGTATGTCTATGGAGGACCTGGAGGGAACCCAAGCAAAGACAAAGAGAACATAGACTCCATGCAGAGAGCACCCCAGGTCCAGCATTAATCCCAGTCCCCCAGAGCTGCGAGGCAGCAGTGCTAACCATGTCACTTTACAGTATACTGCATATAGCTTTGCTTATTACAAATGTGAATCTGGCTTGCAGCTTATAAAACTAACACTTTATAAACATTAATTATTTGTTTTATTATCTTGAAATGAAATCATTCCATCAGACATTCTGTAAATTAATATGAATAGTTCTTCATTTTCTCATGCAGTAAGCATAAGTTCAAATTTATTGTCCCATAACCCACAGAGTCAAAACAGCAACTTGCTGTTTTGGCATTTGTGATATTGTTTTCCTGTTCCTTCAAAAGCGATGCATATCAGCAATCATTTTATTGCTGCTTAGCTATTTTCAGAGAACATTCTTTATCTTGATCTTTAAAACGTGCCAGGTAACCCACGTGCTCCTTTTTCCTATACTTCAGGAAAATAAGAGTTGCTGGCTCCCGAGATAACAACAGTAGGAAACAAATTGGATTTCTGGAAAACAATAAGAGGTTTTTCAAACCACCTAACATGCTTTCATCTTATTTTATAAATGCCAGAAGCTGTGTTTAATTCTTTCTACTAGAAACAAGCTTATAAAGATCGCAGCTCTGAGAAATTCTAAAATACAAGTTCATACTGAAGACTGAGGGTAATTGTCGGAATTGGTTTAACCTAACGGCAGGGAAAGGAACACTTCTGTGGTACAGTACAAAAACCCACTTAGACACAGCTCTATTAACATTACCAACAGCAACTAAAGGCAGGAAGATGTAAAGTCTATATCCCAGACAAAGTAGCTTATCAGCCTGGAGTTCTTCCTGGTTTCCAAAGATAACACAAAACAGAGAGCACTGGGATGGGACATTTGTCCATTACAGGAATTACCCACCAGAAATGCTGACCACTGGGGGAAAGTACCTCAGTCATGGGTACAAGAGGGAGGACGTGAACCCATAACCTTATAGAAATGGGTTCAGAAGCTCATCCACTACAATATGCTGTTCCCTAACTATTGTACGTTATGATAAAATATGGTATAGACAATGAGAAGTAAAAATTAAGTATAAGTATAAAAATCCATAAAATGTATACAATAAAAAGGTTTTTGGATAAAGGCCATCATCAGATACAAACAAAAAAAAAAAACATTCAGGCATTGGAGAGAACACAGTTTACTGGAGAAAGTGTATTAGGTTCTTTTTCATTCACAGAGGATGGGGTTTGGTTAAATGTTTCTTTCAACATGACATTTGTGTTACATTTGTTACATTTATGTTACATAACGGCACAACCTAGTTAAACTACAGCCACATAGGGGTATGGTACCCAACTGATGCACAGAAATCAAAGTTAAAAAACAAAATCAAAATGTATCTTTTGCATTGCATTAAAACCATTCAGCAACAGCTAACGTGTTCCTCAGAGGTTCACAGCTATACAGCAAATCACCACACTGATTATTGATCCGATACCAAGTTTGAGCCAAAGATTGGCTGGAAACATTTCCACACGCCTATTGATAAGCCACCAAAAAAATGCATTGAGCCAAGGAGTGCTGCCAGATGCCTCTGAAATCGAATTTGTTTCGCCACAGTTTTGTGCATCTCCTGCCACTTGATCACGTAGCCAGCTGGGTTGCAATGCATTTAGATGTTTTGTCTTATTTAGTTCAGTGTGTTGGACTCTGCAGAGGTAATGTGAAGTGGTGCCAACACGAACCAGGCCTGGTGCCAGTTGCAAGCTGCACAAGCTTCCACTCCTACTTCTGTAAACAAATCTCCGTTCTGACCTGTTAGCCCACGACAAAACAGTCCTGGGCCCTGGCCAAGTGAGTCTGCACACCTGTGCCAAACAGTGCAGCACGGGGCCAAACACATCAAACCATTCATCTGTGATTAAAGTGCCTTAATCCAGCCTTGTGATTGGTTGAGCAAAATTCATACACTTGAGGCATACCTACAAACTCTGTCATATAGTGCACAATAACATTTCACATCTTGGAAGTAATGCTGGAAGAAGCTAATTTATTACTGCTGACATACTGTATCCTTTTAAAAAAATGATGTACCAACTAATCGATGAAGTGCAAGGGTAAAAGCATAATCCAGTATTGCATGTGGAGCTGTGGGTTATAGTCCAGCATTATTTATATGTGACTAATTTATTGTACAGTAATTCCTTTAACTAAATTACAACACTTAATTCACAAAGCTACTCCAAGAATAGAATTACTCGCAGTAGGTCGTTAAGTCGATCAGAGGCTATTTGATCTAATAAAAATTCTCCTCATTTAAACATTTAAAATTAATTGAATAAAAATTAATTAGACATTTTATGAACAATAATGATAAGACGGTACAATAAATACACAAATTATTGTATTCTCTTGTTTAAAATGTTATGGTGAGCTTCTCTAAATTGCCCCTTTTTGATGTTTTTTTAAATTCTACTCCTTTTTACATATCTTCTTAACATATCTTTTTACATACACTGCAGGCATCTGTCTCCTGTAAATGGAAATTAAACATACCCGCACACAAGAATCCAAACACTCCTTCATTTTCCAGGTGAAAACAAAAATAAGCATTTTATCACTGCAGAATCGCTTGTTTTAAAAAATGATAAACGCTCAAGGCCACATGTTCCTATAATTATGTCTAATCATTATTGTTATTATTTCTACTGTGTTATCAGAATGCAGGGAGGTAGGATAATGTTGTAAATATGGCTTAAGTAAATGAAGTGGAACAACATAGAGGTAAGCTAATTTCGTAGCTTAGACAAGTAGGCTAAACTAATTTAGTGCATCAATAGAGCTCCTAGTTCAATCCAGCACTTAAATAATACAGTATCTGATACACATCTATTATTTTCTAAAATGGTGTAATAGTATCAGGGTAACGTTTAGTGCACATAGAGCCTTATACTTTTGGGCTCACCAGTGAAGCACTTTTTTTTGTTTTAGCTGCAAAAGACCACTTTACTTACACTCTATTTTTGTGTTATTGATGCTTGGGTCAGAAAGGGCCATGTTTGGCAGAAATTGTCACAGAAAAAGCAGCTTTTAGTCTAAAATACCTTCAGCCCTTTCCTTCAGTTTAATGTGTGGACAATAAAACATACAGTATACTAGATGTAACGTAGAACTATTGTGTATTTCATCTGCTGTAGACCTGCTCCTGCTTCTATTTCTCCTTTAGTCGCTTTAGTTCGCTACTCCACAACAGCCAATATTGCCCTTAAAAAGTCAGAAATCATGTTCAC